AAAGCTGATAATATATTTAAATATGCATCAGATGATACATTTAAGCAAAAACTGCTTTTTATTTCGGCTGATGAGATGCTACTGTACACACATTGTTTTTAAGAAACTAAGCTTGAAATTAGTATTCAACCTTCTTACTTTTTGTGCTGATTTTAATCTTAAAATTTTCTTGAAGGTTTATTGAGTACCAAAATTGTAAAGATATGTTACTTAGACAGGAAGATAGTTTAACGCTAACAAAAGCTCTTCCACTTTATCTAGATGTTAAAAAAATCAAATTTTAACAAACAACAGAAACAAATATAAGATACACATAACTAATAATATACAACATAGAGAATAAAACATGAAACATAAAACTTTTAATATTCAATTTAACATATAAGTGATAGGTGAACAGCATGTAACCTATGAAATATAACATAAAGCCATATACCATAAAAAATTTAACAAAATATAGCATACCATCAGTCATAATGAGTCCTATCTTTGAAAAAAACCCTTTCGAGGTGATTTTTAGAATTTGGATTGGTCAGTTTTATGGCTTCTACTTTTTATCACCTCAGAGGTCGGTTTCTTGTAGACGGTTTCTTTTAAAAAATTGCATGTACTTCATTTGAAATCAAGCATCTTCCAAGATAATGCTGGCATGCTAAGAGATACCTTTCACATTTTCTGTTTGTCACCTGTACAAACGGGCTTGCCCACGTTGCGGGTAACATTGTTGGGCCATAAATTCATCCGATGAAGGGGCTAACAATAGAGGCTAACTTTCTGCTAGGAAAATAGAAAAAAACTACACTTAATTCATTAATTATTAGCTAGTGTAATCGTTTGGCATCCTCTATGCCATCTCACATTTTGATATCACTTGTCATAACTTTTTTTGTCCGAAATATGTAGACAGATGAGAGCAAATGATCATTTGACTAAAATGCTGATAGCCTATTCTTGCATCAGGTGATATCGAGGGTGATTTCATTAATATGCAGTTTTAACCTTATATTTTCTTGGGAGAGTAAACCCCTACCCCTAAGTGAGACGAGTAGAAAAATCAAGCATGGTCCAAATGAAAGTTGTGCAAGGTCATTTTATCTTCGAGACATATCGATAATGTTTATTGAACAAATATTCCATTACAAAAAACCCACAGAGTGATATTTGAGGGTGAAAATATTCAGGGTAAAGCTATACTCTGCATGGAAATTAACGTAACCCTTGTTTCCACAATTTCACCCACATTGATGAAAACAAAGTTTCCTGTGTTGTCTTGTGTTGTCTTGTGTTGTCTTGTGTTGTCTTGTGTTGTCTTGTGTTGTCTTGTGTTGTCTTGTGTTGGCTTGTGTTGTCTTGTGTTGTCTTGTGTTGTCTTGTGTTGTCTTGTAACTTGTATATTGTCCACTTCTACTATCAACAGGAGGGGGCATGGTCCCTCCACACATTTTCTTTGTCGTTTGCATGGCCCCCCAGCTTTGTGCAAAAGTTACTATACTATGAATAATTTTATGTTTTCTTTCATAGCTGTTCAATCGTTTGTTGCCATTGTTGGAGAAGCTCTTTTCTAGTTTTACTCAATGTGATCTTTTTTGCATTGACACTTTTTCAACCTTTTTCACTAAAGGAAAAGGCCCCATTAACTAAAACCTGGCCCTGGGCTACCCCCCTCAAATTTTCAAGGCTAGATTCGCCTCTGTGATTCTAATCAATGAATTGCACTTTGATACAAACAATAATTTTGCCAAGTGGGATTTCTTTAACGTAATTTTTTTTGACCAGAGAACAACGTTTCATCAACTAACAGTAACAAAAATTAGGTGTAGTGGCCTATTTTGTTTCAAATACAGTTTTTCTAGCAAATTAAATGTTGATTTATTAACTACGATCCTTTAGCCTCAAACTCCCTAGTCTTACTCAACGTAAACTCAAGCACCTTTTCTTTTGCATTTTGCTGACAGATTGCTAATTGCTAATCTGGTCGTCAGATTTGATTACTTGATATTTAGAGAGTGGCAAAGGATTTTGGTGTATGGCTAATTGAATGTGATGAAAGAAGAGATTTTCCCAAAAGCCACAATGTCTGACTATCACATAAATATGTTTGAGAGAAACAGTAAGCAGTCTTCCACGATCTTAACTCAAGTATTTCTAATTGATCAACCTTTAATTGATCACATAGCTAAAGTTAAAAGTAAGAGAGGCCAAAACCTTTCACTGCGAGGGAGAACTCTGCCTTACAGCTCCTACTAGTTTCAGATGGAACAACACCCCTGAAACACAGTATAATTAGGGAACCTACACTTTTCCACGAATGACGCTTGAAATAAATCAAAGCAATCGATGAATATCTTGCAATTTGATGGCATTTTTGGATACCGGCGTTAGAATTTACTGCGGATGTTGCTCAGTGCTGCCAGGAGGTTTTGATCACGCAAAGCAACTTGAAATCTTTGGTTCTCTAGTTGGAGAAGCTTAGAAAAATTTGAAATTTGGGGGAAGAAGGGTCACATGAGCGGAAACCGCTAAGATATACCAAAGTTAATGGCACTCATATATCCAAACTTTTAAATCCCCCGTGCAGACTCCAATATATCTTGTTAATCTCCAAGCAAAGAGGGTTGCGTGCAAGTATTAGGGTGAATGTGTAAGGTTTACACCTATAGCAGAACGGAAACCCAAATTATCATTTACCAAAATATAAGTTTGTTAACACTAGGTGGAATTTCAATGTCGACTGAACCAGCCATTGGTGATAACTCATTTCGTCGCTGTATTCAACGCAACTTTCTACAGTATTATGATACATCTGGTAGCAGAGTGTGTCACCTAAAGGCAATTTTGAACCAAAGCACACGAAAACCAGTGAGGACTTAAATTGCCCGAAATCTTTAACGATCTTTCGAACGCCAACCGTTTTAAGCATCATGAGGCCTAAAAGCATCTCTTTCTCAAGGGAAAATGCTTGATGACGGTATATTTTGTACCCCACGCCCGTGAATAGATATTGACTCCACTTCATTTTGTCTGGGGGCTGGGGGCTGTTTGTTTTAATGGAAACGCGGCTGCTTATTCGGTTTATTTAAGCAATATGTAGCCTCGTCTTGGTAAATTTTAGCCAGGTAACAAGGCCCGTTGATAGGGGGCAAGGAACCAGATTGCTGAAAGGGACCCCGCTAAGTTATACCAAAGTTTTTAACAAAAGCAATCACAATCCAGTTTGAATGACGTCATCACGAGTCCCGTGTTTCTTTTCGCCCAGGAAAAGCCATCGGGGGTTCTGAGTTCAACAAATAAAAACTGGAAAGGAATTAAATTTCCGTCCAACGTTCTAACGATAAGGTGTGGCAAAAGTTGCCATGGGTGTTGGTACTTTCATTTAAACGCTCAGAGCTGCTTGAAAACCTTAAAAATAAACAAACCTCTTTCTACTGGCACTGAAAGAGGTGTTAAGTCTGAAGCATTTGAGAAATTCCATTTTGTTTTATTTCGTAGTTTTTAACTGTTCCACTGTCCTCATCCCCCCATTCGTTTTCCAAATTCTTTCTGTCCAGTCGCAAGCCATCTCGAGCTTTGTAAATGCAAACGAAAATGCCCTCTAATTTTTTACTAGGTCGTCGGCTTTGCTGGGTAAAACCTATAGCATTTTCTTCATTAACAATTGGTTGCAAAGATACAAATACATCTATACTATCGCTTATTAACCAACTGGACTTCAGGGCTAAGCCACAGTCTTGCGATAATCCCAGTTAAAAAAGGGGCTCTGTATTTGAGGTTGCCAAAAGATTTTTATGAGATTTAGGCGTATATATTTTTCTCGCCAAAATGTCCTGACCAGTTTAGATTTCATCTGCCAAGCAACAATGGAATTTCACTGACCAAGTTGTTTTGAATTGAATGAAATTGACAAAGACCAGAATATTTGGCACACAACTGAAAGTCCTGTAACCAGTTTGCAAATCAGGCCCCCCAATAATTAACAGAGTGTAGTATATTTCTTTTATAACAGTTTTTTAAATGAGAAGGAATACAATGGGCAGCTCCCCCCCAATATGAATTTCATTCCGACGGCACTGCAAATATAATTTTTTTTGAGTAAGTATCGACTGTCTACACCGCATCCAAAATATCTGGCTGGGTAGAGCACAAATTCATAAGTTGCACGAGCCATTTTATAGGGGCAGTGGGCGTGGGGTTGGTCGTGGATGGCACTGCGCTCTCGAGCTCCCGCGCAAAATCCCCAATCAACACAATGTACAAATCTGGTGGACACTTAAAGAGAACATTCATATCATTGCTTCTGCTACTGCTTTTCTTCGACATGAAATTATTTTTAGAAATAAACATACTTTAACAATACGAGCTTGATGGCTAAACCTCAAACTATTCGCTTGAATCTCACGCTTTTCTTGTTTTGCACTGCATGAATGAAAAGTCAAACTGTTGATAAAAATCGAATCTTGTGATTGTTCATAGTTAATACTGAACTTTCACCTATCTCAAGCCTAAATTTTTTATAAAATTTATTCTTATTAAAAGACAAGTTTGTATCTGGTCATGTGATTGATAATTTGTTTTCCTTCAATATTTGATTTACGCAAACACCTCTGTACTAGAAATAAACTGACAAGTTGTGAATTAACATCGTCTCCCTCTATCTGAATTTTTGAAGAATTGTTGATATTCGAAGGAAGCAATGACAGACAAATTGTCCCAAAGTTTGTTTATCGCATCCAACTGTTTGTTGTGAAATAAAAGCATGTCTTTTGGAGAGCTTAGGCTTCTTAGAAATAATCTTTGGCGGTGTTTCACGTCACCAATCTCCATTTATTTGTAATAATTTTTATCGCCCTGATATCGTATTTTGTTGTATTTTCCTAACTTCCTGTTATACTTGGCTACTTCTCTTTTGTCAATTTGATCAAACGTTCATGTGTTATTTTCAAGGATGAAAGTTATTGCAGAAAGGTAATCTAACCACATTTGAGAAAGATGAATCAGAGGAACGCCGACAGTACTATTTCAGATAAAACAAAAAGTTGACAAAATTGTGCGGTGCAAGCAGACTCTGTTGCTGCGGAGGAGCACATACTTGAAGACAGACATGACCCTATTGGCCAAAAGTGAAAATCCAATTACCCCAGCGAGGCAGTTTTATAAAGCGACTGTATCTTCTGACGAGGAGACATTAGTTCCTGCACCTGACGGAAATTCTCTTCTAAGCATAGATTTTCTCTAGGATTTGCACATGATTGCAGCAAAACAATAGACATTGATATCTGTCCACTCAGAATATAGACGAACGTCGACGATGCTGTGTGTTGCTGACAGATAAAGTGAGGTATTATTAATTTTACTTGTGAATGGCGATTCGTATCTGGATAAGCAGCAGGATAATTTTAACGACAACAACGCTCAGAATCGGTTGCTGAGTTTGGCTATCGTAAGGGGAAGCAAGCGATTAGAATTAATAGGAGTTAGTCACAATTGTTCATTTTGACCAGTTCCGTTGAGTGTCACGGAAGGTTTCGTCGCAGTCGTGTCTCCGTAATTACAGACAAAAGGTTTGTTAAAATGTTACAGGAGTCTACTGAATATTTCCCTCTGTAACTGCGTGGATTGAAGGGTGATTATCTAGTTGACGGCTTGGTCGTCATAGAGAAATACAAGAGCAAAGGAAGTTGGCCTTGTGTTGTAATTTGATGAACTTTCGTATCCAATCGAATTTAATTGCTGACAAATGATCGAAATGTTTGCTAACATCTTTCATGTTGGTGTAGAGTTTGTCTTTGATTTTGAACCCGCCTGTCGCGAAGAGGTCTATTGTTTGCTTTTATGCCAAGATTCATTCATGCCTAAAACGTCCTGCGACGACTGTCTGTTCTAAACTGATTTGTGTATTTACGAATTTATATTCATTTCATTTTTGCAGGGCTGGCTGGAGCTCTTTGTCATCTGCACAGTTCGTTTCCATCGTTAGCTTGGAAGCAATTATGAGTTTTCCTACACATGACAAGGGATATTGTTGACCAGAAACATGGGATTTTACAAAGCCAAGCTCTAAGTTGCAAAATTTGAATGTTTATGAAAATGTACACAATCGAACTGGATTAATGGACACTATATATTGCTAGTTAAATATCAAAAGATCATTCATGAAAACTGAAATGGCGGACAGTTCATGGAGAGGGCCGCAGGAACTGGCGAGGAAGAACGATCGAGCGGCCGTGTCGGGGAATTTTAATTCAAAACATGGAACAAACATGTACGCGTTCCAACGTACTAAAGAGTATGATCGTGGCTACTATGATCCACATACCATGGCAAGTTCAGCGGTCTCTGCACTGAAAAGCTCAAGTGGAATTCGCGGGGGTTTCCCTGGCCAGATGACAGATTCACCAGCGTCTGATGTTTCGGTCATACCCTGGGTTAGAAGTCTGCCCTCATCATGTAGCGAAATAGACTCAAGGGCACAAAGTGTTATTAAAACTGAAGGCGAAGCATCTTCGTCAGTAAACAATAATAATAATGTGGGCACCACTGTCGATTTAGAGCGCAGGAAAAGTGCAATAAAAGCTGAACCCATACGACCAATACCGCAGATGGTGCCCGCTGAGTTTCTTCGTAGGGGAATGTACTCAGAGGTTAGTCGGCCTCCATCTACTGCTCATTCTCTCAGGTCAACAGTGCTTGATTTTGGCAGTAGGAATAGTAGCAGTTTTTCAAGTCCACGGCATTCTGCTGTTCGTCGTGGTCAAAAGCGGGGCCTTTCGGTGTCTCCGCTTTCTGCGGAGTGCATTGATTTGAACGCCATTATTAGGACCTCGCCAAACTCGCTTGTTGCTTTTATAACGGGATCAAGGGGTTCGTCTGCTGCATCTAGAGCATCCAGGGCATCAGGCTCCTATGGACATTTAAGTGCTGCAAGTATAAGCCCATCCCCTTTTTGTACCCCAGTTCCTAATTTCTACGGACGACAAAGAAACCCCTTTTCTACCCCGTCTCTGCCGCGGACCCCGTCTGCCTCATTGAGTCATAAAAATTCATCAGAAAAACTCGTTTCGTCAAGCATCCCAAGGGCTGGTCAATTCGCGTACAAGCCGCTTGCTGAAGTTAAAAAAGAAGAAGTTTCGCCATGCGCTGCTGTCAGAACCGAAGAGGCAGACACATTCCAAGAGGTATGTTATCATTACGTCATTATAATGATATTTCTGCAGCTTTCCCTTTTCACGTCGAATTATCTTTCAAACAAAACAAAATGTTTGGAATGTGTTCTTAAATGGATTTGGGCGCGAAGACACGCGCTTGTTTTTCAACCATCGTGCTGCGCGCGAATAATTGAAAGGGACCTTCTTGGAGGTTATATTTGGGCGCTTGAAATTTTCTAAAAATTTTTAAAATCAACTTTATTTTTAGAAACATTTTATTTTGAATTGCACCACTTTCAGGTGTTTGCTTCGATTTGAAATAATATTATAATGTATTGGGAGTGGGGGGGTGGGGGTAGGGGGGGAAGGTAACGCTACTTCGTTTTGTTTTGGCGAGCGATCAATTAGAGGAAAGAAATTCTTTTTTATTGCTCCGTATAAAGTTGACTAAAAAGCCTTGACTAGGTATGTCAATGTAAAAAAATGCTCGTCGTTGTTTTCCAAATCTGAGTCGAAATAACGCCGAGGTTGTTCAGACTTGGTTGTACGAAAGGTTTGCTCAGCCCTTCTTGGTTTTATGATGATGAGCTCCTAACCAGAGTGATGTGTAAACTGTAATTGTATCGCGATGACAGGCTCTTCTCACGTATCAAACAATAAAACACTTGACCCAAAGAATGCACCTCGTCTAGGGTTACAGTTGACCTTTGTGGCTCTTTGAGTAGCGTATTCTGAAGAAATTTAGCAATGAATTGACTAAAATAGGATAGACCCAGTTTCTTCCAGGTTTCGTTGACTTTCAGAGATTATTTGAGTTTGAGATCTTAAGTCGTTAATCTAAGGACTTCAGGTGGCCTGCAATTATTCAACATCAATCTATTTGCGGAAGCATAAACCGGTTTAATGCAATTGTAGATCCATGGTCCTTCGAAATGGAGACGTCAAATTCCTTGGAAAAAATTTTACCTTGGAAAAACATTTTATAGTCCTACTTCTAGGAGTTTATTAACCCATCCCTGTGTACGAGGAGCACTTCACTCTTGCAAATAGCGGTCGAGATTTTCCCTAAAATAAAAGGATTTCTGGGGATTTTCATATTAAACAATGGGGTTTTCACAAAAGGTGCATGAGATTTTCTGGGAGTGATTTGCCCCTCGTCCCTGTATAGGATACTAACTTCTAAATGTATTTGTTTAAGCATGATTTTCAGCTATATGGCAAACCACTCTTTAACACTGTAGGCATGTGACGATTATTACGCAAAATCTGGGAAATCTGGGAAGTTTGCGAGGGGGTTGGTTGGTTTTGGGTGCTAAATATGGTATATTTGTCCCTTCATATATTAACCAAATCTCCCAGGGATTACTTTTTAAGAAACGACGACTCTCTCAAAGTTTTTTCCAATAACATTTACAATAGTAGTTTGGCAATTATTAAGCTTTTAGTTTTAGTTGGCAATTATTGATTTTGCAAAAGCCATTTTGCCTCAATATTTCCAAACCCTTTTAATGGGTTTTTAACCAAGTCACATTCCCGCCTTCCTGTCATTTTTGTACCTGTAATCTACTAATTTTAAGTTGAATATAAAATCTTGTCGGAAGAATAGAATTGCTGGGGCACCATTGTTTAAGAGCAATTAGAACAAAAGCGATTGTCCATTGGAAAAAAGGATTTTCATAACACTGGGGTCTATGGGTGTAGTGGATTATACGCGTTTAGGGGCCTTAGTATGGATCTTACGTGAATATGATTGCTTCATTAGGATAAAAATGCCCGAATGGAAACCGAACTGCTATAATTTTCCCTGATTAGTGAGGCTGTGGCCCCCAGCCCGCATATCTTGAACTCCTATGTTTTGACCTCCAAAAAACTATAGGAGCTACTCTCCTGATTGTTTAAGTCGGTAAATCATTCAGGTGTTGTGTCGGTTGCCATCAACCCCCCCCCCCCAATTTCTTCTATTGTTATCAAATTTTTGTTACCTTTGTATTCAAGAAAGATGGTATTAAAGTTACTGATGAACACGCTTTTTTATAAGGAACCATTTGTAAGGAACCTAGGTGTGGAAGGCAAGAAGAATTGAAGAACCATTGGTACTAAACACAACTCCCTAAAAACCTTTTTCAATTTTGAATATTTTTTATCATTGCAAACAATCAAGTATTTGGAAGCTGGTTCCATTCAATTGGGGTGAAAAATCACACAAATTGTGTGTTGCGAAGATAGCTATCGAGTATTTCATGGTGTATTTCTGAGTATTTCATTTTCCCTCTTGATAGAATTTCAACTTTTTTATATAGCAAGCGTCTTTCTAGTCCACTTCTGCTTTCAACTTGTTTTCTAGCTACAGTTAACAATCTAACGACACTAAAATATAGTGTCAATGTATTATGTGCAATTTTCATGGCACCAAATGCGCAGGTAAATTCAGCAAATATCAAGGGATTTTAAGAACTACAATGCTAGCAAAAAAGGTCCAAAACTAAGGAGCTTCAAGAACTAGGCCTCGAGCTAGGTTTCTTACAAAAAGGGGGTATTCCATCAGGCATGCCGCTTTTTTTGGTCCTTGTTTACTTTTTCTCAGTCCAGCTTTTTCTGGTAGGTTCAGTAATGTAATAAAGACTGTCAAATGGTTTTTGCTTTAATGGGTTGCAATTTGGTAAATTGTTTGAAGTAAATTTGGCATAGATTGGTATATTAAATAGCGTTTGAATCGTTAAATCTTGAATAAACTCTGTTGATGTAGTCCCTTTTGGCGATGTTATTTAATAATGGTCCTCAGGTTCACTGGTCTTTTTGTAGTTTTAATGACAAGAAGGTTGACTGGAATGAAAAGGGGTATTGAATCTGGGCTGGATGATTTGAGTTGTTAGGCAAGAGCAGTTATTTGCGGTACAGTTTGAGTTGTGTAAGGTTATGTGATGACCCTACGAGCATTCTGGTCCTTGTTTACTCATTGATCTATTATTTTGTTGATGGCAATGTAATAAAAGTAAATGCCTGGCAGTTTTGGGCATTAGGGTAACAGCACAATAGCATTGTTGGCAGCTCCACCCAAATTTCCATGATGGCAAACTATTTTCGTCTGAGTTTTTTATTTTTTGGGCAAAATATCAAGATAACCAATTACTAAATTGTCTTGCACACCTCAAGCCAGTCCATCAATTGTTATTTACCAAAGAAGACACAGCTGTTTTTTTGTCTCTTTCAAGTAGATTTTTGGTCAGAGGTCAATAGGTTCTATAAATCAATTCTACGTACCATAAATCCTTAATTTAACGCCCCGGCCCTTGAAGGTAATGTGCTCATACAGTATCATGCTTTGAAGGGGTGTAGCTTATGCTAAACCAATTAATGTGCAAATATGGCTTTGTCAGAACCAATCGAATCACAGAAGAGCTGAATTCACAGCACCATTTCAACAGGAGTACATCAATTTTCTGTCATTTGTTGCGATCATTTTGATGTCCACGTTTCATGGTTTAACCATCGTTCATCCGATAGGTTTTACTCTGAGTCAGGAAGATATGACGGCCCCACGGCCACTGGCCAGAGAGAGGTAGTAGAAACAAAGAGAAATTGAGAAAGATGACAAACAAATTGGAAACTTGCGGAGGTTGAAAAAACTTATTGCCTTTTGATTTTCAAAAAACAGCCCTACAAAAAATTGAGAAAATATCATAACAATATATTAATGAACCTCCTAATTTTTTTATCTGAATGTGTTTGCAGAACTGCTTTACATTATAACATTCACGCATTAACTGATCAAATAATTTATATTTCTGAATTTCAACACCACCTGAAATTGCCCTTCGAATGTGATTTTGGGATAATCTTGTAGGATTCTCACTGCCTTTCCCTCACGCCATTAAAACTGACACTTTGCTCATCACTTTGCTCAAGAAAATCACCTTGATTTTTCATCCGAATTATTATTCGAAATGCTGTTTGTCCCGCTAAGCAAGACTGACCCACATGATCAATAAAAGGCCTGAATTGGACGTCTTTCTCCTTAGAAGTTAAAGTTGCAACTCCAACGAGGTACCTAGGTCTTGCAGTAATTCTGAGGGTTGCGCCAGGACTGGGGACATTTTGCAAATTTAGCCGGATTTGAAACTTTCAAATTTTTCATTTCATCAAAAATTTATCCCTTTTTAAGTTTTTCGAAATTCTCCAGCGAATCAAACATGTAGTTGAAAAAATATCTTGAGATCCAAAAGTTTACACCCCTTTTTCGCATTGGTAAAGGAAATTTGGTATTTCTTCTTCACAACTTCCTACCTCATCCAACTTTTTTCGCTTGCCAGCAGTTGTGCAGCACATAGTAACCTAACATAGTGTTCACAGATTTTCCGTGCCGCACAAATGTGTGAAATCCTGAACCTTTATTGGTCAGATTTGATAAAATATTTGCATAACAAAGGACCCTGCATATTTGTACGGGACGGACGGCATACATAAAAATCATTCTATTCACGGTTTAAGATTGTCTTTGAATTTTTCTATATTGAATTAATCGTAGTATTGGGCGTGAGAACGATCAAAGTCGAGGCCTGTGTTTATTGGGAAAAGAAAGTTAAATGTTTTGGTTGTAAGGTGGAAAATAAAGGATTATGATAGATATGATGGTCTAATTTAAAAGACTGAAGACAAAAATCAAATCTGACGGTCTTCCGTGCCACCGGTGCGACGCCCTGTATCCGCCCCTGAGCCATACTTCTTAATTATGTGTGCCTCAGGCATGGACAAAAATGTCTTCTATTTCGCAGTAAGAAGCTGCTAAAATATCATGTAGATTCATTCTCAAGCATTCTTTAAGCGCTTGCGTGTTTTCTCAAATCGTTTGAATTTCTAAAATTACGTCACTAGAGCTGCTTATCAATCCTGGCCTTCTCTGGAATCAGTAATTCCTCGAAAACGTATCATTTTATCACCAATCTCAGATCATTGCCGTATTTATCAGTCGTTAGAGCGAGGTTCAAGCAAAGTTTCTTATCATGGCCGATGTGTTATCATGCGGATTCTTGTTGTTTTGAAAATTTCACCATATTTCGGTTCAGCTTGGGCTTTCGTGGCTTGCTTAACATTTTGGGAAAACAGAAATTGACCATTAGTCGAGACAAGTTGCAAGCAGATGTCCCTGACATTTTTGTGGTTATAGGGTAACATGTTACAGCATTCTGCTGTGGTTGTAGAACGCTTACCATTTTTGAGGGGATAATTTTCAAAGGTTACTGTTCCCCTGTTCTGAACAGTTTCGGATTGGTCGCCTTTCTGACTTTTGTACTTGTTTTGGTGTTTTTTGTTTTATCCCCCTCCCACCTTCCCCTCACTACTCCAAACTTTTGATCGTCACAGTCCACCATCCTCGGCAATTTCCACCATGAGTTATTCCATTGAAATCCCAATTTGAAAATCCTAATTTATCCCAATTTGAAAAAAAGTGGGTGTCGGTGAACCTCTCTTGGCTGAATCGTGATTTATTGAATAATACCATTCCAGAGATGGTTTCACGTTCACTCAAAGCTACTATCTCGTTGTATACTTTTGTCGGATTCAGGCTCTAGCCCATCATGTTGATGCTATAAGACGGTCGATATTTTACCTTGGTCTTTAGTGAGTTATTTCTTGTATGCCCTTCTTGTTCTAACTAGTCAGAAATACCGTACATAAGATACACAGTTAATAAAAGAATATTTCGTGTATCTGTTGATTAACACCTTGTTAACTAGTTGATATCATCGGTTGGTAAGATTTAACTTTAGTCGGAAGTATGGAAGAAGCTTACTGTTAAGATGAATAATCACGATATTTTCAACGTATTTCTCAAGCGAATGACTTTCATTAAACCTTACTGTTTTGATGTCCTTGGTACTCATAAAAGGAGGCTACCCCCGGTTGCAGATGATTTGATGTTTAAAGACAGCCAGTTGTTTACTTACACATTAAACTGGCTGAATTCATTGGGACAAATTCATAGACCCTGAATGGTTCATTTTGTGACAAGCTCTGGATTATCACGAGCGGAATTTTCCTCTGTCTTTTCTTTTTCCTCTAGTTCTATGACCCTTTATCTCATAATCTTAGCCCATTGACTGATGCGTGGCAACCATTTATCAGCCTTTGTTTTATACAGCTACGTATCTTGCATTGTTGTTACATTCAATACTTTATGTTATTGATATTTCCTTTCAGAATATATCAATTAAGTCAAATAGATATTTCCGCCTTCCCACTCAAGTATGTCATCGGGAGGGCTCTTTCAAGAAATTTTATCTTCTCTCTCTCAATTGCTCCTTTTCTTTATCTTCCTAGATTTTTTTCACAAAGTTATTACTCTGTTTTGTTAAATGAGAAAATATGGAGTCAATTCTCCTTTCTTTTGAAATTCTTACTTATATTTTTTTCCATAACTGCTATTCCTGTTGTTTTTTAAATTTATTTGTTTATAAAAGTTATATCCAAATTAGGTATGGAAAAGTTTGATACAATAAAATAATGACTTTGTACAAGAAATGAATATTTTGTACTAAATACTCATTTCTTGTACAAAGTCGTCACTTTATTGTATCAAATTTTGTTCATTTTCGACGTACAACGCGCACAACTTCATTGATTATCAATTTATTCCTCCCTCGTGTAATGTTTTGAATAAATTAACATATTATGACGTAACGGTACTTAGAGTTAGTTGTAGAGCACGAGGCCATGGAGTCAAACGTATTATATGTGAGCACATGGTTAGGCCCTTTTCAAGAACATAACACCACGTTGTAGCTTTTCAACTATTCGTTGAATATGAAAATTTTCAAGCAGCTACCTGAAATCTTCGAATCGGCCTTCCTCGTATCAGTCCTACTTGATGATATCCTTTGAACTGTTTGTTAGGCCCCAACTCGAATTATCGCCCCCCAAAATACCTACATGTTTTTAGTCCACGATAAATCGTCTTTTTAATCAAAAATGAAAAACTAGAATAAATTAATCAACCATTTTTCTCGATAACATCGATTTACAGAATGTTTTGTTTCGCAAAGTGAACCTAAAAAAGTGAAAAACTTTAAAAACGAGCTATTTATATGACATGTTACTCAGAATTTCTCAGCTCTCCCGCACATTGAACACGGGCTTGCTGTACTCTTCCATGAAGTTGCGTGATTTGCCTCTACTGATGATACAAACCAATTTCCATACCCTAACCGCATGCAACAGGCTGCCCAATTAACGTCAACAATTAAAAGACAACATTCATTATCTTTAAAACTATAACATTCATTTGTGTTGTCATAGCTACAAGGCATTTTGCTTGTAGCTCAACTGATATTTTCCCATCATTTTTTCTCTCGGATGTTTCTGAAGCCCCATTTGTTGTTGTTGTTGTTATTTTATCAAGGGGAGCTGCAATGTTCCGTAGGATGTAAGAAGTCTAGTTTTTATTCAAGTTTATCACAAAATTGTTATTTAGTTATCAGAAGTATATCACAAAATTGTTATTCTAGTTATTTTTGTACTGAAAGTTAAGAAGGACTCAAGTTTTCTAAATCTCGATTGAAAATTGCTTAAAAAAATAGGAATTTGGTCTAGTATCTTCAGCCATCTTCTTTTGCGACTTTTTCAACCCTACTTTAACATGAACTGAACGACGCCAAGTGGAGTCAGGGAGCTCACTTAGTTACTATATCAAAACCAACCTGAGGCTGACCCGGACCAGATCTTTCAGGTGCATGTCTGTACATGCAGATATTTTTCTGTTTTCTCGTCACACTTGTTTATGTTACATTGCGAACTAATTTAATCTCTTTTCCACTTGTGTTTTATTAAGCAAGGAATAGCTTAAATTCTTGGGGTTTTTTTGAAAAAGCATCAATGTTTTAGTCTTAGTACAAGCACGTTTTTTCTCAAAATAGTCGTGTTTTCCTTGCGCTTTGTGCATTCTTCAAAATCGATATAAAGCAGTTCCTAAACTGTGTTTATTTGGTAAGCGGATTTCCCGTAAGCCGTTATATTTGTTATCATTATTCCTTTCAACTTTGATATAATTCTCTCAACTTCACTGCTTATGTCAAACTCTAGTACTGCAAACCACATACCTTCTCACGATGGATTTTTGTAAGTGGGTAGAGATCATTTCTCGTGGGTCATTTCTCTCTTTATTGGAATTCTGAAGTCAATGCATCGCCTTGAATTGATACAAAAAGTAAACAGCTAGGTCATGCTTTGTTCTAGAATGCAACCAAAATTATTATAAAAACGTTTGAAATGCTGCAGGGGAAAAATAATAACTCAATTAAGTGTGGTGGCAAGAATTCCCTTAAGAAGTCGATTATTTTGGTGACTACATGAGGCCAACTGGTTTTCGTGGACTTTCAGTGTAGAAACAAAATTGACTTTGTTTCAGAAGTGATATTAAGAGATTTGCTTCGCTTGGCATGTTGTTGTCAGAACCTGGTTGAGGCTGTGCGTGCTTTCTTAAAACGTACTCATGCCTTTATTGCAAAAGCACCCTAATGCAGTAACGACAAGGGTCGTCTCAGAAAGAGGCTATTTGCACCGTCTGTACAGGCGCTCCTGATTATGGTTGCAGGTCGAAACTGAAAGGAAAGATTCCTCAGATTAAATATGTTTATAAGAGTATTTGTCAGAATAAGGGAATAGGGACATACAGGGAAACGAGATGTCTTTCCAATGCATAGGCTAGACGTTATAGGCCAAGGGTATGAGATGGGCAGCCTGCATTTTGCGTTAAGGAAACTGAATTATTTTTCTAGTTTTTTCACATCAGTTATATGTATATGATTTCTACTAGCGTCTACCTTGTTAAGATATATTTGAACATTTGTGTGTGTTAGGGCTGTTCAAAAACACCACACTTCTCTGAGGAAGAAGATGACGAATCAACGAACGACTTCAGATGCCACTGGAAAGACTGTGGAAACATTTACGACGGCCAGACTGCTCTTGTTGCACATGTTAACAACGATCACATCCAGAAAAGCAAGAAAGATTGCACTTGCTACTGGAAGGGATGTGCAAGGGAGGAGAAGCCGTTTAAAGCAATGTATATGTTGGTTGTGCACGTTCGACGTCACACTGGGGAAAAGCCACATGCTTGTGACGTAAGTTGGTTTTTCTTAATACAATCGGACTCCCATGATTCAACTTCAGGTTAATTCGAATTGTTCATACAATTAGTCCCTGTTTAGACCAACTTTCGATAGTTCGGCAGCAAGAATTCTCAAGTGCTTACTTCAACACTCATTTTTGGAACATTGCTTATTGAACTTTTTAACTCATTTCGTCTTTGCTTTCTTAATTCACAAATCAAGCCTGGCTTTGCAGCTTAGTTGTAACGGCATAAACTCTGCCAGATTATCAAAAGTGCCTTCCCAATAACAATTTTGTGTTATGTCAGGGACTGCGGAGGAGGGGGCTATAGCATCCTCACTTTTGCCAAAAACAAAAAGAATTGAGAAATGGTCCACCAGTCGAGCTTCTTTTTATTTGGTTTAAGCCCCCCCCCCCACTTTTCTTAATGCCGCAGGGCCTGTTTGTTATCGGACATTTATTGTCTTTGATGAAAGAAAGACTCTACGATTCCAACTTTCGACTTGATTTGATTCACATTCACACCGAACTGATTTTATGTCAGAGACCTGAAAAAGCAAACACGGACGCAGCTATTGAATTCTAGAAAAAGACGGTTGCGCTAGTTTAGCGATGTTCCACTTTGTCACGAGTTTTCTTTCCAGACGGCCTAACGCATATTGTTTTGCCTTTCTGTGCAAAAACTTTGGCATGTTTTAGCTCCGTCGCTATTTGATTTTCAATGTTCTTGTTTATTGTTTACTAATACTAGGTAATTAAATGTGTCGTAATCATGAATCTTTAGTGCCAGTCCCCAAGAAATGAGATAGCAGGTTATGAGATCATAGAATTAGTTGTGTTATGTTGTAATCTAAAATGGTGTGATCTGCGCTTTGATTCTGAATGCAAGACAGGTTTGTTGGCTGATCCCATACATCGCAGATCCCATAAATTATCAGAATATAACAGAATTTTTCTTTCACAATCTACGTTTTTTGTAAGAAATCTTGTGGATCGTTTACAGACAGAGACAACAAAATTTCTTTTCATAGTTTTCCTCAATAAACGTGGAATGTATTTACGAGCTACTCTTTGTTACTGGATTGATTGTGGTAACGATATCCACTGGAAACCTTTAGAATTATATTTCACCTAGAAATTTTTGTCATAACCTTTTTATTGAATTTTTTTAAACTATGCTCTGCATAAAGAATTTTCAATGGTACAAAATTTAAAAATAGCTTTGAAAAAAGCAAAAGGCTTTAAGACCTACTTTAAGCTTTTCGTCACACACTCTAGAGCAAAGAACTTTAGATTAATGATCGAAAGTTTTAAGCTAGGAAATATATGTTTTTTCTATTTACCGTAATGATGTCTTCAATGTTGGTTACTTTTGACATGCAAAGCATGTGCCTAAGCCTGTTTATAAAGATGGTAAAAACAAGAGAAAAGAATTTAGAAAAGGATACGTGAGAATGAACTGTGAAGAGTTCAGGGGAAGACGGGGGAATAGAATTTGTATTTTTGCTCTGCCAGAGAGAATCTTGTTTATTTTTCCGGTATAGGACCCGATGTAACATGAACTTTTACAAGGTGATTCTGTGAAGTTAAGGTGCTTAAGACCTAGGTATCTTCCAGTCGATTTCTGTCTATAAATTGCCCTGTATTTCTGCTATTGGTTTCTTGGATTCTCGCTAGTGTTTATAATTCTTAAAAATCTTCTTCGAAGTGGACAATTTCATGCCCACCGTCCCAAACTTTTCGGATCAAACATACATTTCCGCCAGACGCCATTATGAACGCACTTCTGATAGCAGACGTCTGATTTGAAGTTTTATTCAATGAAGCAACCACATCCACTTAATGCGATAACATTTTTATCTTGGGATGTATAAATGCTGCTTTGTTGGCAAGCTTATCGTTTTTTGTTGTTTCATTGAACGATTGCAAGGAACCAGTTGCTCCATTTTGCAAAGCCAAGTTGCGCCGTTGTATCTAAAATTGAGTCATTTTCAAATTATATCAAATTATATCATAAGATTTTAGTTTCGGTATCGATAGCAATAAATATTCTCCTTTAAAAACATATTAATTTTACCTTCTTATCAAATTCATAAGAAGGAAAATTGTAATATTTCGATTTGTTTATTGGTTGAAATTGCAATAGCCGTTGTCGTAAAAAAATTTTATACAATTCAAAAAAATCTAGAACTCATTTGAATTGATCAATTTTTGGTTCAATGATTTTAATTTTGACGTCACATCGTTCGATTTAAGAACCATTAGTTTTTGACAATTATTTGTTTATTTTTACTTTCATGATTTTACAGATCGACTTCTGTCATTGATCTTGTAGTGGTTTGAGTTTGAACTGAATTTTGTTCGTTCCTTTTAAAACTCTTACTAAACAAAATTTTTGTGATAATGGAAAACATAATCCACACTATGTCAATGGAAACATTATCTACTAAGTTCCCTGCTATATGCTATGACATTTTCCGCTTTTAAATGCTCTTTTGATCCTTTGCATAGCTTTTATAGAAAAATTAAGTTTTTTCTATATTCTTGCTTCTAGTTTCCCGGCTGCACGAAAGCCTACTCAAGACTAGAGAATCTGAAAACTCATCGCAGATCACATACTGGTGAGCGACCTTATGCCTGTGAGTTCGAGGGATGCACAAAAGCATTTTCAAACGCTTCAGATAGAGCAAAACACCAAAACAGGACACATTCATCAATTGTAAGTGCTGTTCCGTTACTTTCTATTCCAAGCTGCAAGCATAGAGTTATTTACACATTTTACAGAGGTCACGTGCCAGTGAAGTTTGTTTGAAAATTTATGCACACCCCGTTTCACTGTAGGCTTAGACTGCGCATAACTTGATGATTTTTTCGTTCCTTATTCCCGTTGGCTGACATAATAGTAGCTTGTTATTTATCTAAGGGAGCATCTTGCAGTAAAATAATTACCACCAACTTGTTTTTTCCTAAAAGTACGGGGCAGTTGTAGAATAGTTGGTTTCCTTTCCGAGAAGCACATGGAGAAAGTAGTTAAAAAAACCAAACATGGTCTGCATTATGAAGTTACTGACTAGTAGCTGCGAAAGGCAGGTGGTTGAACACGTGATGTGGCTGAAGAATGACGAGATAGCGTAAACAGTGAAAAGAGGGAAGCGTGTGCTAGAGAAGCAAAAATAAGAAAGAATGAAGTAAAATGTGTGAGAATATCGCCCATTTTGCCGAGTTGTCCGCTTCAAAGTACCTCAAACTTTGTAATGGCTGGCCCCTTATCATGAATTTTTTACGTTCTTCACACTATCGCTATAAAATCCACTTGGCTTTCTGTAACTTCATGCAAACACTGAAAAAATTGCAAATTTGTTAGCAATGTTTCTGCCGTTTCTGTAATCCAATTGAAGTATTTTGTCTGGTTTTAGTCGCTGTCCTCTTTTGTCCCTTTTGAATTTTGCACCCTTGATGTGCTTTTCGGTGGTTTTGGTATCTTGTTTTGGTATATCTGGTTTACCGGTATGCTCGCTCTTTTTCAACATATAACAAAAATGCTTAATGTCTTTGAGGATCACAGAGGCCAGTCTGGAATCGGATTGGTTATGATAGCAAATAATGTCATTTATGCACTTTTTATCTAAAATGTTTATGAATTGAATGCTATTCATTTGAACTGGATGAGTCAATACGAAATCGATACGAAACATGATAAGAATAATGATTATAGACGTCATCCCTTGCCAACATCATAATGAGTCGTCATCATGATCGTCAATTACCATTTGCCATTCTCATGATCCTAAAATTAGTGATTAAGAAGACTAGCTCAATAGGAGTGTATCAGATTGAGCATCATGTTTCAGTTCCAATCTAAATTGACATGGTTTGCTGGTATACAAATATCCAAATTTGGGGCTTTTGCTCCAGCGGTGTTTGTATTTCAAGCATTGAAAACGAGACTGGTTATATAAACCTAGCGTTTAATCTGCCTCAAATAGGCCGGGATGTGTTGTTGTTTCGTATGACCTAGTGGTTTTCAATCCAAGATTATTCTCGGCGGGGCGTTCTTTGATCTCCTATCTCTAGTGGACTTGATATGAAAGCAAATGCGAAACTCGCAATAATTCCTTTAATCTCTCTGATAAGATCAGAATGGTGTAAAGGAAATGAGGAGCTAATGTTGTGATGAACGAATTAGAAAACAATTCCTGTTTATGAAACGTGAATTGATACGCCCGCGTCTGTGTCGGACTCTGAGTCATTTTTCATTCATGTTTTTGCCTTTTCCCCGTCTCTCTAGTTTTATAAAATCCAAGAATTCCACTTTTCTTTGAACATTTTGCTTATCGTTTTTTATCACCTATCGATTTCTCGTATATGCTGGTTAAAAGTTTTGCCTTTGCAATAGCCTGTAAAGTGCCCCTCTGTCAGTTGTCTAGCTATTCTCCAAAGCTGCGGTGGTTTTTTCCTCAATCTGCGTTCGGCTGATTAATGCCTGGAGCCGGTATATCCCGCAAGAATGACTTGTGAAGTTTTTGCAGGTCAGCCTAAACGTACCGCTGTAAACCCTGGACGTTTCATGGTGTTCTCATCCCATCACGCTACGCTATTTCCCTTATGCGTGTGGCCTGGCGGCACAATAATCTTTATATCGAATCAGTTGTACCAAAATATTCAATTGCACCAAAATATTCGATTGTACCAAAGACAGTGAGCGAACTCATTGCCATTTGCCATAATGTTTTAAGGTTGTTTGATACGCAAGATATGCTTTGATTTGACATTGAGGCTATTAGGGAGGCTTCTAGGTTAAGTACTTCTAGTTCATGGTTCGGCTCTTGACTTACAGTACTTCCCTTCATAATCCAAAAGTGGATTTGAAACTGAAAAATTGCCTGTTTGATAAGTGGGTCTTTTTCTGTTCCAATTTTTTCTCACGCGTTTGTTTCTAGGACATTTAAAACAGAATATTCCGATTTTTTTAAACAAAGTTAAATGTTTAAACATAAAAAATAAGTTTTCTTTGATCTTGGATAAAAGTTGAGATGAGAGTTATTATTATTTTATTATTATTATTTGTTCATTTAAAGTAGGCGTATAGAAATAGCTACAAAATAAAAGCTAATTCAAGCCTACTACAAAGTAAAATTGTTTGAAAATAAAAAATAAAAATACATATATATCCAACATAATAAAGAATTAAGGATAAATGCATATATACATATTTCATAATGTTTTTACAGCATTTTTTGGCATTTACAATACAATACATTTATCCGTTCAAGAACCCAACCTGAGCCACGAAAGGTCTACACAGTCTACAGTTGCATTACTCTCCTTTCCAAGATTTTATTTTCCTTTTAAAGTTGGAGAGGGTATCTGATTGTTTCATGTCATTGGGAAGTGCCTGACACAATCTACTCCCTAGAAACGATATCGTCTCTAAGCCATAGCACGTTGTGCGCGCTTGTGGCAGTAGTAGATTGTGGCAGCTTCTCAATCCATACGTACTGTGTTTTTCAATAAAGATATCCTTCATGAAAGTAGGATTGAGCTCTCATTTTGTTTTTATAAATTTCAATCATCAACAGTTGTAGATTCCTGATGTGGATTTGTGAGTTAAAAAGCAGATTCATTTTTTCTTAATTCAAGAAAGTTTCTAAGAAACTGTCTTTGTAAAATTTGAAAAAATGTTAAGAAATTCGTTACTTTTCATTTTGTAATGAAATTCTTATATTTAACACAAACAGTATTCGCAGAAACAATTGAACAGTCCTATGTAGTTCCTAGGGGCCATATTGTATTGGCAAAAGCCATCTCTTAGAAGGGCAGCTGCTAGAAAGCTATGTAAAAGTGCCGACTGTTGCCTCACGATTTTCTCTTTTTTCATAGAAACAATACGGATGTAAAGTGGAAGGATGCCCTAAAAGGTACACAGACCCGAGTTCGCTAAGAAAACACATGAAAACTGTCCATGGAGCCATTGCCCAGCCCAATAAGAAGGTAAGTTGATAAGCTACTTTGTACCTGTACGCTCCACCATAAGAAACGTTATTCTTTGTTGTATAACCAAGCTGTTAGCAGAAGATTATGATGATTATGATGACGCACAATGTAACTTAGCAAGCAATCTTACGAACGGAAATAGATTTGACAAATGTTATATGTAATAAGCATTTTGTATCCGCATTCCAAGAAAATCTTGCATAAGATAGCATCTAAAATACGGGCGTACATGTTTTGGTTTAAATGTCTCTCACTGTTGCCATTTTAGATCACTAATTTTATACTTTTAAACACCTATGTATTATACTGCAACAGATGATAAAAATCGTCAACCATTCACAATTTCGTTTCTTATCCTTTCAAATAAAGTGATAGCGCCAGTTAACGTAAATGTATTTCTACCAAAAGTAGACTGTTTTGGTAGTTTATGAGTCTTGTTTTGCAAAAAGGTTGGAACGCTCTTTGTGAATACACTGTAAGAAATAACAGAATTTAGAATTTGGCGTATGTAATTACAGTATTAGATGGCGCACTTGGTATGCTTGAGATTTATTGGTTTCTCTATTGACTATGCAACACAAGCAGGCAGATGTTGAGATCTCCCCAAGATTTTTTTCCACAGTTGTGTAAACTACTCTTGTACAGCTTTTTTAAGACACCTAAAACCTTCCTGTTAGCTAATGTTTGTGCAGGTTTGTAACAGGTAGTATACCTTCAGGGTTTGTTTGTCAGACATTTATAACTTAACTGGGCTTTATACGTTTTTAGATGAAAGGTGAAAAGTCTGAAAGCAAGAAGGAGAAAATCGAGCGTAAAGAAAAAGAGGAACAAGAGCAACGGAGGAAATCAGTTGGAGAGTGTCTTACGGTGAAACCATTGCAGCAGAAAACACAGGGAAATAACGATAGGAGTAGCTACGGAGCAGGAGGGCACAGGGGATCAATGTCTTCATACGCGCATTCCCCGCTTCTTCCGTATTCGCAAGGACGAATGCCACCAAATGATAGTTTCAATACTTACAGAGCTTGGGGTGTCCAGCAAGCCAGTCCATCAAGCACAACAACTGAATGCGAAACTGCAGAGCAGTCGCCTATGAGCAATCACTCAAACGCAGAACCTTACAGCCCACGTGGACCTGGCATACAGGTGCAGACACAGCCAAGAGCATTTTTACCTCGCCTCAGCGGCAAACCGAGAGCCTCTGAGGGTCTCCTTCATGAGGTGAGCAGGCGGTTATCGGATTCAAGGAGGCTGAGCAATACAAGCTTGATTTCAGTTGATTCTGGAGCTGAAAGCATGATATCGTCACATAATGGCAGCAGAAGAGGCAGTGATATCAGTCTGCAGTCGTATTTATCAAGCCGAAGGTCTTCCCTGTCCAGTCCAATGCCACCATCACGGCTCAGCCCACGAAGTATCGCCAATCAAACACTAATAGAAGGGAAAGTATTTGAATCAGCCAGCCCTGGAAGCAACAGCTTGATCGAACAGAGCTTTGTTGAGCATCAAGATGTTGCTCACTCGCAGCACAATCGCCAGAGTAGGGTCAGTAGTGGATATGGCAGTCAGACTGCGTATTTCCATTGCAAAAGCCCTGCAGTCCAGCAAATACCATCACCAGTGCCGCCAGCTAAAGGCAGAAGAGCTAGTGAGGGGAATGTCACGCGTGTTGGCGACACAATGTTTGAGCCAGCTAACGTGCAACAGGCAAGTCGCGGTAAGAATCGACGTGGCAGCGAACCAATATCACCAGTGAACCTTTTAGAGCAGGCTCCCAGGCGCAACTCTATGAGTACTTACAACCCACTTCCAGTACCCGATTCTATGCGACATTCCTTGAACTTCCAAAACGAAGATATGGCAAGGAGTCCGAACACCATCCAGAGGGATCAGATGCAGACAATGCAGAATCCTTATATTCAGCCAAATCTATTCGTTCAGCGAGATGCTGCCCTAGAAGTAGAGCCGCAGTTTCCACCTCCTGAAGAGGAGCTTGCACGTGGTTCGTTGTTTGCATCCACTAATGATCACCATTCCTCCACCGTGTTACAAGCGGCTGATTCTACGGTTCCTGACCCTGCACGACTACCAATATCGACCATCTGTCAAGAATCGTACTACGCTCCAGTCAGTACTAACAAAAATCAGTGGCAGACAGCAAGCAGAAATATCCATCCGTCCACTGTTGTTGCGGAGGCAGATTCATCTGCTGACTGGATCAGGTCACAGGGAAACACATTGCCCACTGAAAACTATGAAGACGCTATTGTTAGAGAGATCCGGTGTCTAAGCACCGGAATGGCAACACCACAGCCTGACCCATATCAAGGCGCATCAAACATGGCAATCAATTATATGAATACTCTGCTTTCATCGTTGGACGAGGAGAATAAATTTTTCGAAACTAATCGCATGGCTCATCATGGATTTGGCGGGTTTCTGTAGTAACAAGTCTTGTTTGCAATTTTAAGTTATTGATGCACTGAAATGCTGAATTATATCGTTTTGACCACTCTAAATCAATATGACAAGGGGCTTAATGCATTCTGCACTGTGTTTACGTCATGTAGCATTTGTCTCAAGTCTTTATGACTTGTACTCAGGCTAAAGGTCAGAATCGCTGATATTTCAATTCCAGTAAAAACCCGTATAAAAGAAACTGTCAATCATGAGCCTCCAGGCTGATTTTTTGCCAATTAAGCCCTTTCATTATGTGAAACGGCAGAAGCAATTTCAGTCTGTTACATAAATCACGGGTTCTTTTATGTGGGTTTTTACTGAATATTTTAGGCTCGAGACAAGAGACAGTATTGGTATCGAGTTTCTCTTAATGTTATCCGGCAAAACTACCCCAGCCCGAGGATAGGTCCAGTTTTGAATTTTAGCTTCAGAATAGGAATGCCGTTCTGTAAACTAGACAATCCTTTGCGCATATGGAAGTCGCCGCAATTGATTACCTACTTTCTGAAAAGTCAAACTCTGATTTGGTCTTGTTTTAAAGATTCAAGGGGAATGACAGGGTCGAAGGGGGATAAATTTATTTTGATAATGAACGTGGTCGGTAATGCCTGGAAATAAGTGTCTATTCTCGCGACAACAGATGGTTCAAGGGACGATGCACTTTTAGATAAAAACCTCAAGGTTGGTCAGACACAAAAGGCTTTTTAAGGCAAGGTCCTTAACCAAAGAGAGTTTCTCTGTGAAAATTCTTAAATTGGTCTGTTCTTCCTTGGGGTGGGGGCTTGGGGATGTTTGGTGTATTTCGTTAGAACTTCGACGGAAAAAAGCCCGGAATGGTATTTGTCACGCTCGGAAGCATTAACCAAAAGTTGATTGGTAAATAAAGCCCCAGGAGGAAAATTGAATTCCAGGAGTTGATTATTCTTCACTCGTACCACTAATTATGATTTAGTCTAGCGCTAGATCATACAGGCTTTCGTAGAACGAAGAATAGCTTAGAACTGAACAGCACAAACGTATGCTCCGTGGCATAAGAAATGCTGACAGTTATCGGTTTTTCTTATGATGATCGTTATGTTTTGAAACTAATCGTTTTTTGTTTGCTGTTGTTAATTTGTTTTCAAGTTTTAGAATTCAGTCTTCCTGTATCATATGCCAGAGTAAATACAAACTATTAATCGCTGGCTTCTGTTTATAAAACTTACTCTGTACGATGCATGATAGCGTACTCTTTCTCAATTGCTAATTGCGCTAGTCGCAGTGTCTTATGTAAGGCCATTCAACTTGCGGAAATTTTGCGCCAATTGAATATTGATTTTCGACTCTGAATTCTATTGAAAAATATAATGTCGATACGTTGCAATGATTTCTTCCGAAACTACAGATGTAGACCCTTAGGCTTTGGCTTTTTGTTCCTTCGTCGTCAATGTTTTGACGCTGAACAAGTAAGTAAGAATTAACATCCTGAAGAAATGGCATATAAAATGCCTCCGATATTTTAATACTGGTTATACTAATATTGGACGTTGGTGTAATGATGCAGATACCAAAGGTTATCGAATATTCCCCGCATTTTAACCCATCACCTGGGCCAATGTTGCTAATTGTACAATAGTCGTTAAATATTTTATTTTTGCTACAAATATTCATTAACAAGACACTTTAAGTTTTTTAGTTTGTAGTATTGCTCAGTATTTTGATTTTTAGATATTATCTAGATCAAGACCTAAACGTCCCAGTTGTTTTTATATTTTAATTCTATCTTTACTTGAAAATGTAATAAGGGTGTGAAATCCCCAGAAGTCAAACAGTGTTGAATAATGATATAGCGTACCGAAAGGTAACGTAGTCGAAAACAGAAAATTCAATTTTGACCACATGACGTGATAGAATATTATGAAATACATTTAAGTGCGAAATTAGTTTAATTTTTAAACATTGGGTGAAACTTGGATAAAAAACTGAAACCAAAGCGAAAGGGTTTTCCAGCTTGGTTCAGATAGTTATGAAAAGAGCCATAGAGTTCAAATAACAGTAATATGATTGGAAAAGCCTGTTCTCACGTTGCTCTAGCTCAGCCAAATCTCTTTCAGGTTAAGGGGTAAAAATTCAACAATTCTATAACAGTTTTTTTGTAATGTCAACATTTTCGGTAATATGAACAGTTGATGTAACGGAAAGTCAATCCTGCAAATAATCTTGGTTTGTCGTAAGAGACAAGCTGGGTGATAATACGAATGTCAGTTGGCTGGGTGAATGCTTGCCCCGAAGTAATTTTGAATAAACTTTGTCTCAAGAGCCTTTTTTAATATACCAACTAGGGGGGCGATTGCCCTTGTGACTTTCCATTGATTTCAACAAAAGGCTATTGTCGTCATTTTTAGATAAACAAAGGTTTGCCCCAGCACCTTCTTTCTCTTTGAAAAGGCTATGCCTTGTCTGAAACTTGATTTTACTTCTTTCTTATCATCAGCAGTGAGAGTTCACTTTCAAAAAAGTTTTCTAACCTACTATTGCAAAAAAGTGGAGGGGCTATAGCTGCGCGGTGCCTGTTTTTTGATACTATTGTTTTCTGCTACTCATTGTTTAAGTATAGTTTTAAGAATATCAAGTTTTGAGGCTTAGCAATTGACCATCAATATCGGAGTGTTAGTCAATGTGTTACGCCAGATGGCCGAATACAAAGAACTCTGATTTGTGCAGAAAATGTAAAGTCAAAAATTGTAGTAATGAAGTAACTAGTAAAAATTTCATCAGAGGTGGACATAATATACTGTAAAACGGCTGCAAGGATATGAAAGGGTTTAGTGCAAAAATTTCGTTTCTGCTCTAATCCCCCCGAATTCATCAGTTCGAATAAACGTTCGAACTTTGAAGTTGTCCACTTTCAGTTACCTTAGACCAACAGAACAAGCCCTTAACCCCCCCCCCCATTCTTTTTGCAGTATGAAATACAACCCATGTAACATAAGAGCTTTTGCGATTAATTGGTAAACAGCAACGAAAGGTAGCCCCCTCCACTTAAAAACCTTTGTCAAATGTCCCGTTACCTCTTGAATAGATGAACCCTCGATCTTTTAAGCATTGCTTTCAATTTATATGGGATTATATTTGAGGGAGCCACTGTTTATCGGTGATGAAAACAGACACCTACCACCACGGAATTGTCTAGTTTCCATACTGTTCGACCTGATGGTCATAAATAAGCATGATTAAATTCATAAATTAACATGATTAATTATTTCAAGTAAAGGGTTAGGGTTAGTTTTAGGGTTGGTTTTAGGGTCAGGGTTAGGTTTAGGGTAAACTAATTACGTCATCAGGTCGAGCAGTATGGAAACTAGACAGCTCCCACCACCACTGGGTTTCCTTGGAGCCCCAAAAGCTACACTACCTCGATTTCATGAGGCCCCCATGATGCAACGCAATCGTCCAAAACAAAAATAAATTTATTCGAAGTTTGGAAATGACTTGAAATTTGGCGATCTTACAGAACTATGGTCAAAATAAATATGAGAAAATAGAATAACATTGATTGTTGACGGAAGAGAGACATACTCCAACAGTCGATGTACTCAAACAACAGTCACCTAAAAGTTAGCAATGGAACAACTCGAAGTAGAAGCAGATTTGAGGTAAGCAAGAAAGTTTTGCCCATTGCCGTAAAAAGATTTCGAGTTCCCTTCCTTTTCAGCGTGTGTTGGTCAAGCTTCCGATAATAAGTTGAAAGTATTGCTTTTTTATTACATTGAAATTGTGTCGTTAACTCTCCATAAGCCAATAAAGGAAATAGTGCAAGTCAATTAATGCTAGTCAGTTTTGCTTCAACTTGCCTTGTATTCTTGGCAGGAGAAGAAGACATGTGCAAATATGGAACTGATTTTTTGTCTTGGCCTGTTTAGGCCCATGCTGCGATCGATTCTGTTTTCGTATGTTTTCCTTAACAAGACCACAATATGTTTCAAATTAAAGAAGTACAGTGATATTCCGACTTTGTTGTGTTGCTCCAAGTCCCATCTGAGAAGAGTCGTTTGAGTGACGGAACGCCAGTTAGCTTACAACGGGTAGCAAAGTTGGTCAGCAAAGTTGCTTCTGTTTGATTTGACATCTTATCAGCATGCAAACCAAGGCGAATAGCATCGTATCGAGGCGAATGGCATTGTAATTAAGTTGTTGATTTTTTGGTGTCGATTTTTATCAACCGAGCGTAGGGTTTATCGTTGATTTATTCATGCAAGTAAAAAAACTTGCTAGCATTTTGAATAAAATTTCATGGCTGAATGTGTATATGTCATATAGAAACTGGTTATAATCAGGCATGACAACTTTAATAACATCAGTGCCTGACATACGTAGCCCGGAGGCGAGGCCTGATAAAGGGTATTTACATGATGGAAACATGATGCATTTAACATGATTCTAAAAGACCGGTTAGTGGGTGATTCAACAGGAGCTTTTTTGGTTTGAAGTGGTGTTGTAGTTAAAAGTACTAGATATGCGAAATTTGAAAGGTACATTAAGTACAATTACCCTAAAAGGTGAACTAATAGGAGATTGTTGATAACACATTGCAAAAAAATGTTTACTTAGATATGGATTGTCAATTTAACATGATTTTTGTACATGATAAGCCATGGACATTCAGTTGCAACTTGAAAGAATTTATATCCAACATTTTAAAAGAAACCTGTGTACATTTTGTTTATTTGATTGTTTCTTTATTTAGAGAACATGTTCTTGGAATCCAGCATCTGCTCTTGACAGTTTAGGATTGTTATGAAATCATATTTGAATTCAACCACAGTAGAAAAATAAATATTTTCAGAGATATCATCACCAGACTTTTTTACTTTTAAGTGTTAAAGCCATTATTTGGGATAGGTCTAGAAGCTTGTGGTTCTATAAAAGTGGCAAATAAAAGAATATAAAAGAACTTACCAGTATGAAATAAAATCTTATATATGATATGCAACCCAGTATCCTTTACAGTGTATAGTTTTGTACAATCCTTGTTTCATTTTTTTTTCCTCGTCACAAACTAGAATTTTAGAGGCTTTAGTTTCACTAGTGACAACTGGCAAAACTTTACTTTTTTAATTCATTGATGGGTATGTAAAATCACATAAATTATCATGCATTATGATATCAACTATCAAATATTCTTCTCTTTAAAAGACTGGCATTTTCTATAAGAGATGCCGAGCAGTTGAATTTACTAGACATTGAGACACTAATTACAGCTGCCTTTTGCACTGGTTATCATAGATATATATACACAGGCTCTGATTTTGACTATATCACAGACAGATTGTGCACAATATGTTTAGATTATCTCCATGGTTTTTCTTTTGAAATTCATCATGTTAAGTACATAAACCCATAAATTCATTTCAGTGGTTAGCTGGGAAGATAAGTCCATAACAAAGACTTACCTGGCAAAAAAGATGATGAATTTGATTCAATTTCATCATTGTTTAATGCAAGTAAAAATACCAGATTTGTTTTTAAGTGGTCTTAAAATCGCTTTGCATGGTATAAAAGATGCTGTTATGGCTGTAAGTTTTTCAAAAGTGTAGTGATTAGTATTCATAAATTACTGAATTAAAATGAAGCTGTAAGCAATGGGATTTGCAAGCTGCCAATGAATAGATTGCAACACAAGGAGTTGATATTGACACAAAAAGAGGAAGCTGAAAGGAGTTATTTTCAGTTGCCTTACAGTGCCCAGCAAATGGTAGCAATGTGTTAGGGGGCATCTGCCCACCAACAATCTAAAAATTGATGTCTGAGAATGGTGCAAGTCTGCAAAAAGTCAATGACATAAGCCAATTATGTCCAAGCTTTTTCACATCAAGTTTTTTAAAATTGGCATTTTGCCCCACCCCCTTCAACCTCAATGTTTCAACTTTAGTTTAATGACCCAAGTTAAAGATAGTCTCTACTCCATTGTACGAAAGTCCCTAAATGTTTATGAAAACTATTAGATGTCTAATAAAATACTAGAGTTGATGGTTTAATCTCGAGATAAAGGTTCGTTACAGTTCAGTTTGCATTGAATTGTCAAATATTTAATGGTCTATCTTTGAAGCAGTGAGTCCCTTCAGATTTAGAGCTTTAGAAAATTAGGAGCCTACATGCCAACTTTCAGTTGTCTGATAAATCAAAATGGCTGATCAAGTTTTAGAACTGTTTTCTCCTACTCATAAAAGTGGAACAATTTTAGAGGGAACAAAACAGCAAAATATCTTATTTATTTCCATTAAATATTTAATTTCTAATATTCGAAAGCTAATCATAAAACACAAACAAAACTCTAATTTTCACACTTTTTAAGCCAGTAAGGAATAGCGATGCATCAAGAAGCACTGAAAGTTTTATTTTATACTTAAATGCTGTTAAAGTTGCTGATAATTAGCGTTTTTTGCCAGCTCTTCGCACAGATATTGTTATTATTCCAATTCAGTTGACATCACTATTGGGCTTGCTAAGGTCAGCTCAAATAAACCATGGAAGTCTAAAAGGCTGCATGTTTTGTTTTTGCTTTTGCAATTATTGTAATGGATTTCAGCTTTTTGCCATTCAGGTTGCAATAAAATATTTATTTGAGAAGTAAAATGTCACTGTTTTTCTTTGTTTTCAGTTCCCAGTATCTTAGTAAAACAATTCATAGCTAAAGGCAATTGGCTAAAAATTTGCTCTTATAATTAATTCATAACAAACTGCCCATCAAC